CTGCCAGTAGTCTTGGTCCTGGGTAATTGCTCTTTCCAGAACTGAGTCTTATCATTATTTTTTGCCCAGGCAACTACAGCATCAAATATTGGTCGAGGGATCTGCGATATGTCAGTAAGTCATCCCAGGAATGTAAACAATTATTGATTACCGGAGGTTTGACGCATGTTAGGAGCGTCTCTTCATCAAGGTCCTTCACCTCTGATTTGAGGAAATATTTCAATGATGGATATAGGATACACCAAACGTCCGTTTTTGGCAATTGGCGAGCAGCTGATGCTAAGAAGGAGACCGCGGCTATAATCTTTTAGCTATATAAACACGAAGAGATGCAAGAAAAAGCTTACCTTGTCGTATCCAAACATTTGGATGGTACAGGAATCCAAAGACCGCACTCATTAGTTCCCATATTCTCATCTTTTGGAACAATCCAAAGCCAGAAAGCTCAGTAAGAGCCTGTAGGACCTTTGCCACCACTGTTTCCTCGGTATCTGAGAAGGGAAGGGTCAGGTATTATACGCAAACTAACCGTGTCGTATACACACCTGAAAGGGCTTGGATCATCAATGGTAAAATGTATTCGTCCAAACTCCTGCCTCCAACGCAAACAGCTACATCAACAATACTTTGGAAAAAGGCATAGCGAAGCATCCAATCGCGATCGTTAAGATAAGTCAACATATGGCTCAAGAGCACGTCATTCGTTTTCTGGCGTCCGAGGAAAATGCAAAGACTGGATGTGTTGTTCAAAATTGTTCGCTTGACAACAGATGATTTGTCCACCAGGAGAGTGACGAGTTGTTCTTGAATGAGTGATTGGAGCTCAGCAAGGGCAGAATCATAGGACTAAACCGAGGTCAGGAAAACTTTTGTTCATTAAATTTGCAACTGACCTCCTCTTGGGCTTCCCAATCTGTGCCTGTTCTTCTAGTACCATGGGCTTTAAGGGCATGCGACATTTCCAGAAAGAGGGCACCAATCTCTGTCAAAGGAACAAGACACTGTGCATACATGCATCGAACCATGACATCTGGATCACTAGCAAGATGTCTTGTGTGTTGAAGAATGTATTCCGGGATAATGGACGCGTTGGAAGGGGTGATGGCCGACACTAGGCTCAACTATAATACCTTGTTAGTCGAGAGTCGAAGGCAAATGAATCATACTTGCCACTTGTAAGATAGTCCGTACAGCTGCAGCTCTTATCAAAGCTGAATCATCGTGAAGAAGATCAACGGTATATGGAATTAGACGATCTAATTTAGCTTCGTCGGTAAGGTAGCAACTCAAGAAGAGCAAAAGGTCAAGTGCTTTAAGCTTGGATGAAGGCAAGGTGCAGGAGCGGATATTTGATAAGACCAATGACAGGATGATAAGTGCAGTGCCATCTTTGGACCAAACAGTCAGCTATGAGGACCTGAGGTCAATTTCTAACACACACCTTGGGAAGCAGCTCGAAGACTTTTGTTCGTAACTCCGGGCAATGTTGAAGACAAGTTTGGAATATCTATTTCAACAGGAAGAATATCCTGCATGGCATGTAAGAATAGTCTTGATTGACGAATATGAGGGAAAGTCACACCTGGAGGGTTTTTACTTCTCCAAGTTTTGCAGAGATTCCAGCCCATGTATCACTTATAACCTCTCGTTTATCCTCTTGGAGCTCTTGGTTGAGATGGGGCACGACCCTTTCAAAGTCCGACCAGATAAGGTCCATTCGCCTATCAGAGTCGCGTGGTAATGGCTCTCCCTGTCTATTTTCTCCTCGACCCGAGCGACCTTCGCCAGCAGCCGGGGCACTGCTAACCGCAGTTTGAGGGATGGTGCTATTGTGCGAAAACGTGGTAGTGTGAGAGCTTGCTGAGAAGACCGAAACCGTTGGCTGCGCCGAGGTTGGAGTGCTCATGCCATCGGAGGGCGCAGTAATGCTAGG